TTCCTTTATAAATTACCCAGTCTTGGGTATGTCTTTATTAGCAGCATGAGAACAGACTAATCCACTAAAACAAGCCACTCCAATAACCTCCAAACAGGTCTTTACTAATCAATTCTTCCCCTCAATTCTATTCTCCCACATCAAAATTATTTTTTAAAGTAAAAATTTCTTATCTTCATGGACTTGCTGATAAAAATTCCTCAACAGCACTCCCAAATCAATAAGGCTTATAAGACCTTTTGTAACCTCTGACATCTCTCCGTTAAGTCCCGACACCACCAAGCTCTTGCCACACCTTCAGTTACTCAGAATACAAGCTGCTTTCCATGTCAGGGCTGTTGCATATGCTGATACGCTACTTAAAATGCCCTTTCGCCCATTCTTTGAAACTTTCACACTAAGTTAGGACTCTTGTTTATACAGTCACTGAAAACACTTGATCATAACTACAACTATAAAATAACACATTACTGGCCACTTACTATGTGCCAGGCAATATTCTAAATGCTTTAAAATTTATTTATATAATTATCAAGATAATGCTATAAAGTAAGAACAATTAACTATCCCTATTTTGTAGCTAAAGACCAGAGAAGTTAGGTTAACTTGCCCAAGGTTATGTAACTGATAAATGCAGAGATAGGTTTTGAACCCAGACAATTTGCTAGAGTTCCCCCTTTTAACCATGATAATACAGTGACTCTCAAACATACAACTAATAATGTGTATTTTATTCTTGAACTTGTAAAGGAAAAAGCAGTAAGGGGCAAATAAAAACCAGTTGGAGGAGGAAGGTCCTTATGCTGTGAACAATGGTAAGTAGGGTATACCACAATTTGAATATTTATGTGTGTCAAAAAGATCACTTTAGCACAAGAACAAGAATGGACTATAGACATGTGAAATAAAAGCCAGTCTCTGTGAGACTAATCACATGTATTTTACAGAAAGTTGCATTAAGTTGAGAATGAAATTATGCTTAAAATAAATACTATTATACCAACTAAAAATTATCTGCCAGCAGCTCATGCCTGTAATCCCAGCACTTTGAGAGGCTAAGGTGAGTGGATCACCTGAGGACAGGAATTTGAGACCAGCCTGGCCAACATAGTGAAACCCCATCTCTACTAAATCACAAATTTAGAAGCCTCACATCTACTAAATACAAAAATTAGCTGAGTGTGGTGGTGCACACCTGTGGTCTCACCTTCTTGGAGGCTGAGACAGGAGAGTCGCTTGAACCTGAGAGGCGGAGGTTGCAGTGAGCCAAGATCATGCCACTTCACTCCAGCCTGTGCAACAGAGGCTGGAATGAAGGTGTCTCAAAA